GGACAGGAGCGAGAGGGGGAGCTCCGCGGCGGCGGGAGGAGGGCAGCCTCCCCCCAACCCCCAACGCCCTCCCTCTCCTCGCTTCTAGGCGTCACTAAAGTCCAGGAAAATTATGCTAATGAGGACAAACGGCTCTCACAAAGGGGCTCTCTTGCCGGGCTCTATTTCTTGGGAATCCATTTGAGAAACCACGTAACCCTCTGCCCTGAACACTTCCAGTTGGGGTGCAAGGGGAAAGAGAACCATAAGGAGAGTCCCCCAGACTTTGAGCACTTTACCAAATCTTCCACCCCCAACCTGAGAACCTCAAAGGCAATCCTTGGGGGACAGGGATAGGGCCTCCCGTCTCAAGAGACCTCCCCAAGAGCCAACTGGGCTTTCATTATATTTTTAGGCAGAAACTCTTAAAATCCTGGCAGCCAAGAGGGAAGTAACCTGGGGGAAATGGACACAAGTCCAGGCAGTGAAGTGGGATGCGCTGGGCTCAGGTACGTACTAGGGTGCCTAGAAACCTGGGTCTCCAGCTTTTCTATGCCTACTTCATAGTACAGACGCGCAGCTCACTCACAGGAAAAGACAGATAAAACTCTGACCCCAAAACAAACCGACATCTATAATGTTTTCTTCTCTAATTAGTGGTATGCAGGGACACTGAGCAAAGGAAAGGCCTGGGTGTGCCCCGCAATACTGCCACAACTTTAAGGAGGATGGTCTTTCTCTCTTCTAATGCCTCCCTCCACTCTCCAGCGAACTCTGCAAGGGTATGTGTGTGGCAAAAAGAGAAATGGAGCTTTCATGCAATTCCAAGGTGTCAACGGCCAGTCCTTCTCAAAGGAAGGTGTTAAAAATATAAGTAGTATGTTTAAACTGTCAGGGAGCCAAAGTGTCACCTTAAAGCAAAAACAAAGCCAAGGGAAAAGGGAGAAATCAAAAAGCACTCCTGGCCAGGGTGGCCTCATGCATACCAATGGTTTTTGTCATTTATGGCTGGGCAAGATTTATGACTCGGCGCCCCAAAGCTGTAAACAGAGCACAAAACAGCAAACACTTGCTCCTTATGGCATATTGCGGCAGCGCAACTTAAAAGGGGGAGCCGGGCGGCGTAGGAGGTGAGAGCCGCCGCAAAAATCGCTCGGCTGCATTTTCTCTTCAAACTGGCCTGGTCGGATGTGGCATTTGAAGAAAGAAGGCGTGGGTCAATAATCAACCCGCACTTTCTCCTCCAAACTGCTGACACGACTCTCACCGCCTTCTCAGCTAAGCCAGCTGCAGGGAAAGGCCAGCTTTCCGTGAGAACCTGCCAGGGGAGGGGACCGCCTGGGCCAAGAGGGCCGAGGGTTCCGAGGTGAGGGCTGGGGCATCTGGGGCGCATACCTTTTCACCCGCACCAAGACTGTGCCGGGCAAAATGCTGGGACTGGACTTGAAGAGCCATGGGAGTTGAGGGAGAGCTGGGGTGGGAGCTTGGGACAGGGTCTCTGCCGGATGGTCCCAGACTAGATGGCTTCCGGGCAGCTGGCTGCAGTGGGCACAAATCTGGCTCTGACCTCAAGACTGGTCTCACACCCTGGCATGCAGACCTCCGGGTTTGGGCCTCTCTGCTGAAATCCACAGGACTGGCTTTCAGAGCAAGGCAGGCGATGTGATTAAAGGTAATAATTTATGATTGCTGAAGGTTCTGTGTTACTGTTTTTTAAGAGAAAAATACCGCCTGCCGATTTTCACTGCCAGAAATTGCCCACTGCTGCGGCTGCGGTGTCTTTTCTAGGCAAATCCCGCAGCCATTCACCCTGC